TAACATCCACCCCGCCCCCTATCCAATCAGAAACCTTCCCTGCCCCAAACCTTGCGCGGACCCGAAGATTTAATTCCGAATGATTTCATTCAGATTTATTTCATTCTGAATGAGAAGCCATCATGTAACCGCACCCAGTGAGAGACAAAAATGGCAGTTTGCGCGTAGAGGAGCAAAGAAAGAATTCCCATGCCATCCAAAATGCAGTCTTATTTTAGTCCAGATTTTAAGGGACTGTCTTGCAACAGGATTAGAGTTAGCAAATTCCAGTAGTAAAGGAAGGAAAGAGAGGTAGGACTAAAGGAGGCCTGCTCAGTCTGCAGCCATGCAGATTGGTCGTTTGGTTTAAAATCCTGACCCCAGTAAGAGAGAGTTCGCACATCACAGGCCCAAGACTGAAAATTAGGCTATCTCATGCTTCTGATCTGTTCTGGTCTTTGTAAAAAATCCTTTCTAATTCTAGGGGGTGTAAAGTAAAATAAAATGACTGATTTCTTGATGTAGTTGTCTTAAAAACAGTGTCTTACTCCCAGTGAACTAAAGCATACCTTATGGTTGTTGCACCTGAAGGTCTCATTCACCTCCATGTCCTCAGTTGTATTCTAAAGGTCTCGTTCAGTCAGCGGAGCGTCCACAGGTCTGTCCTCCAGTCCTCTCAGCAGTCCCAGGGTAAGAGCTTCCCTCTGTTCAACTGTCTCCAGCTGTTCGTTGCTGCTTCGCTGAATCAGTCTTCATATGCAAAGTGAAAAATCACGGTTTGACATGTTCTCTAGAGATGAACAGTTTTGATGAAACAGCCTACACACTTTAAAATTAATCTGCCATGCTGTTGTTGTAAGAACCTGTGAGATTTTGAAGTCACACAGTTACATCACATACCTGCTTTCTCCCAAATAATCCCGCCCGTTTTAATCTCCCTGTGTCTGCTCTGTGAAACGTGCTGTTCTGTACTTTACATCACATAATCTGACTAAATGATTACTCTCATGAGAGCGAGGGATCGGCTCTGAAAGCTGCAGTAATGTGCACCGTTCACTCATGTTTATCATCTGTTGTTTTAAACTACATCAGATATTAAACCTTGCAGCAGCAGGGTCAAATGCATTTGTACATATATACTGTGCGGTGATATTTTTCCATGTGTTGAGAGAGGGCTGCAGCCTGCAGCAGTGAAACAGACTGCGGTGTAACCACATGTTTACACCACCATTGTACGTCTACTATAAGTGTTTGTTTTGTCACTGACAGGCTCAAATTGTTATTCTGTCAGACAGGTTATGGAAGGATCCCAACAGAGATAGACCTCCTTTTTATTTAATCAGAAACAGCCCCGAAATCACAATCACCAAACCGACCAGACTCGACTTGAAATGAAATCTGCGACGCAAATCAGCGATCAGATTTTTCAGTTCTTGGAAATAAGCTCATGATGCGAAATCACGCTGCTCGCTGAACTCGCATATTTCGCATCATTCGCATCGTCTCCACTGTGCTGCCCGGGAGAAATTTGCGTCTAATCCCGTCTTTACATTGACTTTACATGTAATTCAGTAATTCACAATACACACAACACAAATTGTATTTGCGCTGGCTGTGAACACGACATCAAAGTTTTGAATAATTAAGGCTGGAGCTGCTTTGAATGACAGGCTGTCTGATGATAGTGTCCTCTGCCTCTCGGTCAGATCCACCCCATGCTCCTCCAAAGCGCCAGCCATTCACCCAAATATGGTCACTTGTGGCTTAAAATAACAAGATGGCGATAGGGTTGCAATGATATACCAGTTTGAAGGTATACCGTGACATAAAGGTTGAAGGTTACCACATATCTGTGATACTGAAAAAAAAGTAACTTGATGGAGAATCTCAATTTTATTTTTATTTCAAAGGGTAGAGTTTTTACAAATACTTCCATCAACAAAATGTTTTTATATTTCAGTTATAGTATTGAAACATTTGTCCAACCAACAGCAACCCTTCTGTTTTCATTCATGTAAAGGACCTGACACACCAAGCTGACGGTCGGCTGTCGACCAAAGTTGGGCCGTTGGTGAGAGTCTGTCGCCCTAGTTTTTGCGGTGTGTCCCACACCGTCAGCACTTTGGCATCGGCGGCTTTTTGGCCGATTGAGCATGTTGAATCAGCGGCGGAGCTTGTCGGTGAGAGAGATCACTCTGATTGGCTGTTCAGGTTTTATTTCCTCGCCCCTGTAGCGAGTGAATCTGCCTGTAGTGAAACCAGGGCTAACCGGTGCTTCCTCCTCAGGCTCCACTTCACTCAGCTGCCCCACAGACCAGCTGCTTCTTCACACTTTAACCTGAATAACAAACCGGAGCTAGCTGGGAGCGGCTAGCGGAGCGTTAGCCGCAGCGTGACCGGAGGGAAGCACAGCCAGTTAGCCTCCGCTAGTCTCTGAGCTAGCCCCGGCTCTCCGTTTGGATCCAACCGGAGCACCGAGCCCTGGTTTGTTATTCAGGTTAAAGTGGGAAGAAGCAGCGGGTTTATTGGGCAGCTGAGTGAAGTGGAGCCTGCGGAGGAAACACCGGGACCGTCTGGATGTAATAGTCCGTGGAGGTGCTGCAGTGCTCGGCTGCACAGATAGGAAACCCCTCGGCTGACAGGATGTACCACTCTCTCACTCCGCTCTCTCTCACGCAGGCGCAGAACGTACGTGCTACTTGGCCGTCGGATGTAGTCCGTGTAGTGTGTTCAAATGCAACTGACACAGGGCGACGTGAGGCGACGTAGACGACGCAACAGTTGGCTTTTTACAGTCTATGGAAAATATGCTGAGTCTATACGTGCTAAAATTAGTCTTTTTAAATGGAGTCTGGTGGGTTTGGTGATGGCGATTTTGGGGCTGTTTCTGGTTCAACAAAAAGGATCTTACTCTCTAACACAAAGCTCTATCTCTGTAGGGATCCTTTCATAATGATGTCAGACACTTAGAACAACAATCTGAGCCTGCCGTCTGCAGCGCTTTCTTAATTCTGGACGAACTTCATATATTGTTGTTCCCGTTAGTCACTTAGACACAAAAAGAAAATAGAGTCAAGGTTAAAACATAACAGCGTTACCTTTCAATTATTTGCATTGGAGCAGAAATCATTGTTTTTACATGTATGGCAGTATGTGATAATATAGATAATTGCTTGTTTGCCACTTTCTGAGGATTAGCCGTGTTGATGGAGATTCTTTTAGATATTAAAGGACATTCACTTGCTAAGATCGATACTGCTGCCGCGCTCAAGCTAGCTATTTCTCCCAGTTTCCCAGATATTTGTACAGGTTCCTGAAGGCAACATAGTGTTTGTTTACCAGCTGCAGTCTGTTATCTCTGCAGTGTTGTGTTTCGTAGATCAAAGCTGTTTTATATGTCAAATGCATCTGAAAGAAACTGTATCTGTGTTTCCAGTCTTTTCCTATCCAACATACAGTATATATACCATAGCGAACACACGCTGTATGTTTTCAGCAGTTTCAGTACGTTAATATCAGTTTTTGCCATCAGAAACACAAAACCAAATTTCCTGTGATGCTGTTTCTCTGATAACTCTTGCTCAGACTGTCGCTGCCTTTCCATCATGCTGTCACATCCTCCATATACATTTTCATTTCATACACACATCATGCTGCCTCATACAGACGCCGCTGCTCACCACAGACATGCAGAGCCGTCTGTTTAGCGCTCCGCTAACTTGAATGGGGATAAAATGATTCAATCTTGCGGCTCTTCTAGACTTTCCAAATGTTAACGGACCAAGTGGGTTAAATCCTGAGTGAGT